AAAAAAAGAAAGAGAAGAAGATATCAGCCATGTCACTGTGGAGTCTTACTTGAGCTTTTTGAACCAAGCTTCGGTACCCTTGGTTGAGCAAATAACGTCCAACTACAATATAACCAACCAATTCTTGTTATATTATAATTTATTGGCAAAATTGTATTTTTAGTCCCGCTGGTTTAACGCTGTAACATTTTTAATTCCAAGATTTCAACTTTTGTCTTTTGATCCTGTAATTTAGTATTTTGCTGGGACTGAAATTGCAACAAAATTTAATCTTACAGGATTTAAATTGCTAATAAAAAATTCATCAATAAAATTTTTTATTAGCAATCTAAGTCCTGTAATTTTAATTTTGTTGCATTTTCAATCCTAAAGGATTGAATTGAGTTGAATTTTAAAATCATAGGACTAAATAGTAAAAATGTTCAATTCTTAAGACAAAAAACGCCACTGAATCAAACCAACAGGACTAAAATTGCAATTTCGCCTGATTTATTTTATTACCAAAAAAAAGGTCCGAATTATTGTTTTAGGGAATAAATCTTTGCCAAAAATATATAACAAATAAAGTAGAAAAAAATGATTAATTATAATAAAATAAAATATAATAATAATAAGATGAAAAAATTATGCTTGTTGCAAAGGTTTAGAAAGATTGAAAAGATAAAAAAAAAAAAAAAAAAATCCCTTACTTGACCACTATATATAGTTACATTGATTCCTTTTGCCAGCAATAGATCAACCTGCAACAAAATAATTATGGTCAATTGAAAACAAGTGACTCACATTTTTGGAATCTACAAATAAAATTTGATAAAAATGAATGAATAAGGTAGAAAAAAAAGTGTAAATTACTTGTGAATAATTTTAATATGTAAAAATCAATAGCTAGAGTATCATGTTTTACCAAATTTTCAACATGAAACATTGATGATAGAAACAATATTAGTAGCAAAAAGAATGTTAATAAAATTAACTTTTTTCATGTAAGAAATTATTTGTTTCTAAAAAAAATTTCCATATGTTTGGTAAAACTAGATGATAAACTAGTTGATGGCTGATAAGCTAGTTTATAGCTTATATATATTTTTCGAACTTATAGCTTATGACTTATAGCTGAAAAACTACCTTATATGATAAAGGTGTTTGGTAAAATTAGCTGATAAGCTAGCTGAAATAAAAATTTTCTCACCTCGTTGATTCGTGGCTTCATGAAATCTCCCGCCAACGCTGAAAAAACATGATCTGATTGTCCTCCCCAACTGTAAGTAAATTAATTTAAAACCAACGCTCAATAAAATAAAATAAATAAATAATTAAGCAAACAATTTTGGGAAAAAAAAGAAAAAGTAGACAAAAATTACTCACTCAACATTTTGTGGTATGATCTTAAGTTTCTTCTTGATGGGGCCATTCATTAGGCTGTCTAAATCTCCATCACCACCTGGAGTGGATCTCAAAGAATTCAAATATCTCGAGTATCGTTTAATCGCGATTTTCGGCGATATTTCTGTTGTTACCGACACAGAGACAGGGTCCATGTCTGAATCCAACAAGAAATTGTAGAAATCCTACAAAAAATAAATTAAAAAAAAATATTACACAACAATGAAAAAAGAATATACATATTTTGTCACATAAATACAAACTTTAATAAAGGGTATTTGATTGTTATAATTAATGTAACAATTATATATATATTTGTAAGTTGTGAAAGATTAATTACATCTTTTTGTATAGTGAAACAATCATATAATGTTAACAATTATATTTGAAAAATTACCACAGAATTGCTATTGGAGCTGATAACTTCCTCAAGATCACTCCATGTATTGGTTGCTTCAGAAAAATTGCCAGCCTCAAGTTGTTGCTTTATTTGGTTGGCTAAACTGTCTTGAGGAAAAAAATTTATATTAGCCAAAACTCATGTATATATATATATACTTACGAGTAAATTGCATTTTTAATCCTGTATGTTTCACTATTCTCACTTTTTTGTCTTCCTCGAATTGCCTTTTTTTTTTTTATTTCCATCCCGTATGTTTACAAAAATGTTACAAAAATGTCATTTTCATACCTAAGTGACGGAATTGAAACTATTTTTTTTCAGAACATAAAGGACATTTTTGTAACATTTTTGCAAACATACGGACGAAAATAAAGAAACGCAATTCGAAGAGGACAAAAAAGTTAGGACAGTGAAACATACATGACTAAAATTGCAATTTATTCTATACTTAATACTTAATTATTCATGAGTATAATTTTAATTCAAATCTGAAGAGGTAAAAAATCTGAGACCTGTTAGACTTAACCAGTCCATTATTGTCCAGCCTAGAGACATCTTTCAATAGAGGACCCCATGAAAGCTGCATAATTAATAATGCAAACAAAGACTTAAAACAAAGACTTACTAGTCTATTAATAATGATCAATTTTTTTATTTTTTTTTTTGTTAAATATGTTTGTAAAATAATAAAAAAATATGATTAAATAAATAAATTAGTGAAGTCATAAATATAATTCTGTTACAAATTTGATAAACAAATTTACCACAAAATCTTCTGGTGATATCCAGGTGTCCCCTAATGCAATGCCTGCACATACAATGGGCTAATTTTACTGAATCAAGAGTCATTTTTTCTTTTTATTTTATTTCAATGTTTAATTCACATAGCTAAAAAAAAAAATTCTTGAGGGGAAAAAAAAATATTTATTGCAAAATATAGTCTATATCTTCTACACGGTGGCAATATTAGCCACCATCTTTACGAATTGGCAATATTAGCCAACAACTTTCAAAATTTTGGGGTTATTATCCATGTCCGAACAAATTCGATGACTATTGTTGCCACTGCGTAAAAAGATACTGGCTATATTTTGCAATTTATCTATCGAATTTGGTTGTTGGATTTGGGTAATAATCTCGAAATATTGAAGTTGTTGGCTAATATTGCCGATTGGCAAAGATAATGGCTATTATTGCCACCGCGTACAAGATACTAGCCGGAAAAAAATATATATATAAATATATAAATTTACCTCCAAGCTTCAATTTTAATTGTCTAGCCTCTATTGCTTTAAGAGCTGATAATCCAAGAGTGACAGCATATTTCCCTCCATAAGACTCTGCCACTATATAAAGAGGGCTTTCTTGCAAACTTCCATTTCTGTTAAAAACTTCAATCAAAAGTGTGGTTAAATCAGCTGCAGCCTCTTCATCACTTTTCACCATTAAATTTGTATCCTCCACAAAACTATATCCTGTCCCAACTGGATTATCCTATAAATCCAAATAAAAATAAATAAATAAATAATAATCATAATAATAAAATAAATTAACTTAAATATATAATAATTAGCAAACATTACAGACTACAAATATTAAAAAATTATTAAAAAATAATTGAATCTTTGGTTCATGAAGAGTGTCATAATTATATACCACAAACAATAGATCTGCTTTGTTAAGCCATGTTGTGTTTCTGGGCTTCAAATAAGTGTCTAATGGCCCAATTTCCTCAAAATTACCAATCCCAACTCCAGATGCACCCTGTTTTATTTTCCCCAAAAAAAAAATAAGAATTAATAAAAAAAAAATAAAAATAAGAATCAATGATCACAAATTTTGTTGATTTGTATACTAAAATTAAGTGAATAATTGCAGTAAAAATAACATACTGACAGGTCCACCCTGTAGCCAGAGAATGATGGGCCATGGCTGTCTTGGATCTTGGGTCCTGTATGGACTTTTGTAATACCACCAAAACATGTGGGCTTCTGTGCAAATTACAAAATAACAAGATTATATGGTGATAACTGATACGGTTCAGTCCGGTTTGTAACCGTTGATCTAACGACTACAAACCCGACAGAAAGTTTCGTAACGGGACCGTGACATCTTCCAAAGAGATTAGGTAAAGAGACTCACTGGGTCTAACTTCAACGTATCCCCAAGCCTCTGATCCGTCTTCAGTTCTTACAGCTTTCACCATTAATCCTCCGTCAAACGTTGGAAACAAGAACAGAACAAAAACAAGGAGAGAAAATAGAATGTCGGACTTCTCCATTTTCATTTTTATTTTGTTTTTTTTTTTTTTTTTCTAAAAAAGATAGAGAAATAAATGAATGGTGAATACTAGTGAATAATGAAGAGGGAGAGGGAGAGGCGTGTGCGTGCACAAGTATGGTAAGAGAAGGAGATAGTGGGAATTTATAAGGAAAAATATTTTCTTTAAAAGGAATTTTAAAAGGAAGAGAGTTGACGATTGGAGAGTCTCTTTTTTGCTTTAGAGTCCAACAAAAGTAACCAAAAAGTGTGGGGAGAAGCAAAAAAAAAAACCAAGTGGTGGTGATTAGATATTCTGACTTATCAGATATTTTTTATCTTTTATCTTCTATTCCTTTTTTTTTTAAAAAAAAAAAGTGTCGTTTTGAAAAGTTACAGGGTATGAGATAACTGCAGATAAGTTAGAGAATAGACATAGATGTTTTGAGAAAAGATGAAGAGTGAATATAAAAAAGACGTAATGTATTATTAGCTATATGAGAATAATAATGAAAAAATATGTACAAAAGTTTCAAAACGTTATTTATTTGATTAATTGTTGATAAAATTAAAATCACATTTAAAAAAAAGGTTGTATCTTTTATTCCAAGATTTTTTTTGGGGTACAATATTACAAGTTTTTGTTGTGAGAAAATTTCATTTACTTTTTTTTTTTGCCTATAAGATCTCTCCAGCGTGTGCACACAATCATATATCAGCACAACTAACAAATACATGTGAAGGAATTTTTTTTTAAAAAAAAATATGTGTTTTTCTTCCAAATGCATAAATTATATATAACAAATTTGAGAATGTACAAACAGATAATCTGGTTATACAAATGGTTCCATCCTGCCCACGACAGGTAAGATGGGACACTACGGGGGCAACAACCTCAAAGCCCTCCAGGCTAACGAAGCTAACTAAAAGAAGAACATCAAGGATACGCGCACATCAAAACAGTTTTTCAGTTTAACAATATCATTACAAACCGAAAGCAAAGCTGAATTAAATGAGCAAGAAGACTGCGACTTTTGCACAACTTTTCAGTCATTAACACAACACTCAACTTCTTCCATCCAGCCTTGGCAGCTTTTACTTGAGCGCATCTCACTCCAAGGAGATTTGCCTCTTCTTGACTTGCATCCTAATCCCATGAATCCTGCCACTCCTGGTTTTCTCTACCCTTCAGTGAAGCTAATCCTCTAAGACTAACTGACCCCGTAGAAGAAAGAAGAGCACTGACTTTGATAACTGAAAGTTCTATCTTCTGGAAATGTTCCTTTCAAGTTTTTAGTTACCTCAGGAGGTAGAAGAAGATCTCTTGAAGATGACCTTACAAGATCCACTACCTCATTCCAAATCCCCTCTGAAGAGCATGTTGTTTCTGGCCCTCCAAATTCTCTATAGAAGGTAAATTGACAAGGAAATCCTCTCTTTCAACCTATTGAACCTGGTGCTGCCACAAACCTCCTACCACTACTCCTTCAAACTTCTCTGATTGAGATGAAGAGAATCGCATTCCACACCCAGCAACTTCCAACAAGCCCCACCTTGACACATCTATAGAATAGATGCTCTACGTCTTTCGGTTCCTCACAACATAATGTGCATATTGTTTCCACTTCAATGCCTCTTCTCCTCAGCTGAAGTTTAGTAATCAGGAAGCCATGATAAAGTCTCCACATGAAGTGTTTCAATTTTGGTTGCACTAGGAGTTTCCAAGTTCTGATCCACATCTTCCTCAAGTCTCCGTTCCCATTGCTAGCACTGGCCTCTGTATGGAAACATGTTGAAGTCAGCCAAAATGTTTTCGTAAGCCGGCTTAACTGAAAATACACCCGAGGGATTAGAGTGCCATACGATCCTGGCCTTTTTCCTAAATTGACTTAAATGGATTTTCACTGTAGACTCAACTTCAAAAGGACTAAAGGTCTGATCCATTAACTCTTTGTCCCACCTCTGCCCCCCATCACTAATAAGGTTAGTCGTCTTCTTAAGTCTCTCTCTATCCCACTCAGAATGCAAGGTTGGTTTGAAAGAGATTAAATTTGAAATATAAAAAGAGTCCCATATGTGAATTGAAGAACCATCACCCACTTGGAATCTGAGACCCCTCTTTAAAGACTCTCTAAAACCTAGCCAAATCTTTCAAAAACCAAGAATCCCCATCTTTTTTACTAACCTCAAACAAATTTGATTTTAAAAAAAGACCCTTCATGATTTTAATATGGAGAAGGTTAGGATGAGTAAGGATTCTCCAAAATTACTTGGCTAACAAAGCCTCATTGAAGGCTATTAGGTTTCTAAATCCCAAATCCCCTTTCTGCCTTAGGCCTGGTAAGTCTCTCCCAAGAAGAACAATGGATTTTATCCCATCCATTTTCATTCTTACCCCACCAAAAAGCATCAACTGCTCTACATATATCTTTACAAAAATAAAGTGGAATTTTGGAACAACTCATAACATGCATAGACAAATCGTTTAACAAATTTCTAATTAACACCTCTTTTCTTGCTTCACTCAAAAATGAATTTTTACAATTATTAATTCTTTTCACAACACATTCAGTCACAACCTAAGTCTCTCTTTTGGATTTAGCGATCTCTAAAAGTAACCCTTTATATTTTCCAAAAGAGACATAAGAATTACAGTTAAGAACTTGACAGACATTGGTTACACGAGAAGGATCAGAGTTTTTATAAAAGAAAACGGAAGACTCCAAAAGAGTAACCATATAACTAGAAGCAGAGCGATAATCAACAAAAAAATTCTTAATAACAAGAGTCTGTTCTACAGAAGCTTTGCAAAAGAGAATAACATCATCTAGAAAAAAGAGGTGGGTCTAGGCAGGGCAATTTTGTAAAACTTCATCATGGATCTTGAATAAATAATTTGGTGTATACAAAATACTTACATGATGCGGAAGATAACATAATTAGTGATCTTGATCTTGATGATCACACGAGGATTGATCGATTGTTAGATCTAAATTAGTTTTTCCCTCCTGACTGATTCCTTAACATAGCAGAAAAGTGATGGGAAAAACTGCGTACCCTAATAGGAGGAGAGATGACTAATTTATATAGGGGTGCTTTAGATCTGGTACGTCCATCAAATATCCAGATTAATGGCTTAGATTTGTTTGACCATTAATTAAATACATAGCCCAATAGGATAATTAATTGTGAGCCCAATACTTTCGGGCCACATATTCTTACATTCTCCCATTTGGTCCGAAAGTCCTTAATATAATGGTATAACATTAGTTGCACATAAACAAATCTCATTATGCCATACATCATAATAAACTATGACATGATAAACTATATAGTGAGAGTTATGGCGGTTGTACACTCTCGATTCGCATACTTCCTTCCATATACTACTACACTAATAGTTCAACACATCAAGTTTCATAATTATATATAAATATCATAATTTCCACTTAATTGTCATGAAAAGACATTCATTTCTTGTTCTAAACATAATGTATACAAAATTATAATGAACAAGAAATTCAGTACTAGTCAGAAACATAACATCAATGAGCTCAAGAGTGTACCATAACATCATCATAATCAATCATAAATACAACCAAGACTCATTCTATGTACATGTTTTTTAAGGTGTTTGGTTGTAGACCTTTAGTTAACGAATCGACAATCATAAGGTCTGTTCTATAATACACACTCTTTGTTTCTGAACTTTCTCCTTAACGGCAAAATACTTTAATTCCATGTGTTTTGCACCATTGGAAGATTTGTCGTTATTGGAGAAGAAAACTGCTGTGAAATTATCACAATACATTTTCAGCGACTTGGTAATGGTGTCGACAACCCCAAGTCCTAAAATAAAGTTTCGCAGCTATAATGCGTGAATTGAAGCCTCATAGTAAGCTACAAATTCATCTTTTATAATAGATGCAACTATGACAGACTGTTTGGCACTTTCCTATGAAATTGCTCCTTCGGCAAGGAGAAACACATAGCCAAACATTGACTTACGACTGTCAATGCACCCATCAAAATCTGAATCCTAATATTCCATCATCTCAAGGAGATCAATTTATTAGACGTGAGCATACTATCCTTCGTCCATCCAAGGATATCATCAATATATAGAACCAATAATATAAACTTACTCCCACTAATCTTCTGGTAATACACTGATCAACAGTGTTTTCATAAAAACCAAAAGACGTAATGGTATAGTTAAACTTAAGATACCATTGTCTGGAAGTTTGTTTAAATCCATATATTGACACTTTAAGTTTACACACCATGTGACCCTTTCATTATATGGAAAAACCTTCGGGTTGATCATATAAACTTCCTCATATAAGTCCCCATTAAGAAAGGCTGTTTTCACAACCATTTGATGTAACTCTAAATCATACTGAGCTACTAAAGCCATAATGATCCACAAGGAATCTTTCTTAAAGCAGGTGAAAAAATCTCCTTATAATCAATGCCATATTTCTGAGTATAACCCTTGGCTACAAGTCTAGCTTTATGTCGTTCGATATTGCCACTCGATCGCGTTTGGTCTTAAAGGCCCACTTACACCCAACTCCTTTTTAACTTTCTGGCAATTCTACTAGATCCCAAACATTGTTTTTAGCCATAGAGTTTAACTCTTCTTTAATAGCATCAATCCATTTATGAGACTCATCACTGTTAATGGCTTGTGAAGACGAAACAGGATCTTCATCAATGCTAGTAACATAATCCAACTCTTGCAAATAAACCACATAGTCATCCGAAATAGCAGGTTTTTTCACCCTTGCAAGTTTTCTTAATGCTATTCCACGTGGTTTATATATATTAGTTCGTGGAAAGTTAGTCTCTTAATGGGGTACTACATCATCCAAATTTTGTCCACCATTATTTTGTGGTTGTGGAACAATATTTGGAACAACTATGGATATTGGAACATTAATGGGTAATGGAACATCAACCCTTATTTCATTAATTTCCACAGTCTCTTTAGCACTCCCACTAACTTCACCATTTCAATAA